CCATATGTAAAGGTACAAATTTCTACTTGTTAATTTATTTTTTTTATTTAGTGGCTCTTTGCCAAATAATTGGATATTAAGTTTTTTCGTGATACAAAATAGTAGAAAATTGATTTTCATTGTCCTCTTGTCAGTTCCCATCTTGGTTAATTCCAAGTCTCAGGCCTAGTCGTGACATTATTCTTAGTCTTTTTTGCATTATAATAGCTAGATGAACTTTTAAAGTTTTTCACGTCAAGCAAGAAGGGATTTTCCATAGCATGTGCTATCATTCTCTAAATCATACCATTCTTGACTTTAGATGTTATTAAAGTGGATCCTAAGCATGGGCGGAGCCACAACCACAGTGTGGATACTGGGGTCTATGCAACTAGTAGTCTGACCCAATAAATAATTTTTTTTATAATTATTACCTTTCTTTCCTGATTAAACTCTGCTCTTGCGCTGAGTAAAGATATTCATATATAGTTTTTTTTTCAAATCTTAACAAATTAAATTATTTTAATTGAGTTCATGACAGAGATGCGTCCACCGCATGAGACACAGGACACGACAACCTCCTGCTACTGAATCGGGCTCAGTTTTGTGTGAGACAGTTCAATTTAAGAGGGGGAACTGCAAAATCATTCCTTCACGGGGAATTGCTGCCTAATTGAGAGGGTCCCACTCTTACCTACTGATGGCTGGTAAAAGCTCCACGAAACGGGCGACCATTTCACGAAGTATACGTGTCCCAGTAATAAACAATTTGAAAGGGGTACTGCGTATTTTTCCTATGAGGAAGCTTGTTAAGAAATCGATTTGAAAAAGCAAAAGCTGCAATTTACTCACTACTCCAACCTAGTTCAGCGAGATCAGAAAATAAGAAAAGGAAATCCTAATTCTATTAGATTTTGAAGAAAGCAAAAACAAAAGAAAAAGCGCATCAAAATTCTTTGGTATTTTTCGAAGATTGATGAAGATCGTGCTTCTGTGATTTAAGTGTGACATTTGGCTTGATCTTCATACAAGTTTCTTAAGCCTATGTCTAGGTCCCAAGAAGATTTGGAATTCCACAATGATTTCCGCTATCTTTATGGCATCTCCAATATTTTCAGATCCTTGCTAATGGTTGCAAGATCTAGAATAAAGTATACCTATTTTATTTGGATTTTGTGGTTAACCTAATCGTTCCACTACGCTTCTGTTGAAATCGTAGATCACGATAGATTTTAACCTTCTGACTAGCCAAGTTAGGAGTAAACAAATGGTATACGAGAAATCAGGAATGAAAATCAAATCAAGAGATCCATCCCAAAGATTATAGAGACACGAAAAATTGTTTAGTTACTCATGGCTCAAGAGAAAAGCAAAGGCAATTTCATTGAAATAAAATATGCAAAAAATATTTTCATTGAGATAAAAATAAATTACAGCCCTTTAATCTCCTTTCTTACAATGACAAACACTCAGTTTCTCTCACAAACCTCTCTCAGGAAAACACGACAAAGAAATCTCGAAGAAGAAAATAAATCTCTATCTAAACCCTAGCCTCCTTCGCAATCTCTTCTCCAAAAGCTCCATGAATCTTCAAATTACAATGATTTTATAGCATGAATTAAAATTTTTTTTCAAAAAACGTCAGGATCCCTCACTAAAAAATTTCCAATTTTGAAAATAACCGTCGGCGTGACCACACCCGACTTGTGGGGTAATTACGGCGCCTCCTCGGGTTAGGCAGCGTGGTCACGCTGCATTTCAACGTGGTTATGCCGAGGGGCTTCATTGCGCGGTCTGCTTAACATTTGGGCGTGACCACACCCGATTTTGGCGTGACCACGCTACTCAGGTGGCGTGGTCACTCCAGTTTCAAGCGTGACCTTGCCAATGTTGTTTTTCTCAAATTTCCTTGCTTTGCTCCAATTTTTGTACTAGTTATCTTGTAAACCACAAAATGCATTTTCAACCTTCCCAAAGCATAAAATTATGTAATTAAAGAGGGGAAATGCTGGAATTAAAACACAAAAAGAATGAAAATTAACGCATGTCACCTAGCATAGTATTTATATGTTATTTTCTGTGTTTTAGGTCAGTGTTGGTTTTAGATTTCTATCAGAACCGCTGTCGACATCCAGGTCTTTGCTCTAAGGCTGCATCCGAAGATGTGAGGGTGCTCCGTCCGTAACTCGCCTGTGGTGGTGTCTATCTCCAAGGGCTCGAGTAGTACTCCGACTGTAGCTTGTTCCCGAGGGGTTATTTATTCTTAGCCAACTCCTCCGCAACCTTTCTTACTATCCCCATTGTTGCTGCAGCCCTTGGACAACCCTCCCCTTTGTTGCCTCACAGTCCACCGCCTTTCCACTTTGTTGTTTTCACTGTTCTAGACCTTCACCTTTGCAACCCGTCACTCCTTCCTTTTGTAGTTCTAGCTCTCTCTCGCCATCTGACATCACCGCTACAGGCCTACAAGACTTTTGCTTGCTGTCATCGTTGTCCAGCCATCCGACAACGTTGTCGCAGTCTCGCAACTTTTCCCTTGTTGCCGTAAGCCTACCTGACTCTTCTAACAGACTGCCACCACTTCATTGCAGCCACCTCACCATCCCTTATGGTCGTCGACCTTCCTGCCATTTGACAACATTCCCTTGTTGCCTTCTGACCATTCTCCCACTTCCCTGCGAGCTTTTCCTTCGTAAACCGTTGCAACACCTCGCTCGACCTAAGACATAGTTTAGTCGTGTTGTGCTTTGTTATTTCCTAGTTCCAGTGTCTTTGCTTTTTACTCTATTTGTTTTTTATGTAATAATATTTGCTTTTTTTATTGTGGTTTGGGTTAACTTTGGTATCATTTGGTATCGAAGCTATAAGCCTAATACTAGTCCTATCATGGTGTTTCAAGTATCTCCCCATATCATCCCCCAAATATTTTTATTTCCCTCTTTTCATTTAACTATACCTAAAACCCCAACCACGCCACCATTGAGATACCTTTTGTTGTCCCACACTCCATCGACCTTGCCCTTCGCTGTTTTCGCTATCCCATACCTCCAATTTCGTAGCCGCAGCTTGTCTCTCCTTCCTTTTGTTGTTCTACCTTTGTCTCACCATCTGACATTTAATCTTGTAGCCCTGCAACCGTGCAACCGCGCAGCCCCGCTAGCCCTTCCCTTTTTGTTATATTGCTATCCCACCATCCGACGACATTGCCGCAACTCCACAACACCTATACTTGTTGCCACGAGCCGACTTGACCCTTCCAATGCTCTGCCACCACTTTCCTGTTGTAGCCACCTTACGATACCCTACGGTCGCCCGCCTTTCTACCATACGACAGCCTACTGCAGCCGTCCCTTGCTACCTTTCCCTCTTCCATGTCAGCTTTTACTACGTAAACCGCAACACCTCCTCCCTCGACCTAATCCTTAGTTGAGTCGTTTGCTGAAGTTGTTATTTCCTAGTTCCAAATATCTTTGCTTGTCTTTATTTTTTGAGTAATAATATTTGCTTTCCCTATTATAGTTTGGGTTAACTTCGGTGTTTTAAAAAAAAAAATCTAATAGTTTCATTTTAAATTACTCTAAAAAAATATTAAACTCACGCCTATCCAAGCCAACAAATCCATATGATATTTGAAATGCTCAACTTGTGTTACTTTGTATTTCGATTTAAATAGGAGCCATAATATATTATTTACTGATATGGGACTAAAACATAAAGGGTGAAAGGCTTCTTATGATTCCATCAATTGCAAGTTCTTTAAGACAACATTCAGCAAGCTCTAAAGCTTTCCTTTCAATTTAAACATAAATTAAATTCTTTTTTTCATTAGAATTTAATTTTAAAGATAAAAAATTATCTTTTGTATATTGTTCTTGTCTCAACATTCTTTTTTATTTAGTTTTTGTTTTTTTGGGAAATTTTAGGTTTTGTTTTTTAATAAAAGTGAGTATTTAATTTTAAAATTTAGTTTAATATTATTATAATATAAATTTTAATTTGAATTTTTTATTTATTAAATTTATGTTAAAATAATATTTTATAAAAGTTTTGACATTTATTTTGGCTAAAATTTATCTAATACATCTAAACTTTTTTTTTTTTTGGATGAAACAAGAATAAAAATTATCATGAATTTATTTTAGAATAGTGTAATATAAATTTAAACAATTTCTTATGTAGCGTCCTTTTTTTCATAAAAAATTTAGATCATTTTTTTTTTTCTATTTTTCGAAAAAAAAAAACTACTGTACAACAGTGATCTATTCTAAGAAGTGCAAATCTTGAGCTATGTAGGCAGTTTTATCTTGCACATAGTTTAGAACACGAGAAATTATAATTTTTATAATAATTATTGTGTTAGCATCTATTTATCAAATGTTTACAATTTTTTCACTATAGTTCTATAATTTTCATACTGGTATTTTAACATAAAATAGTTAGTGCCAGTTCGAAAATCGGATAAAAAAGAGTTGATGCTGTTTTTTGAAATTAAGCTGTGTCCCTACTAAAATAATTTCTCACTCCACGGGTAACTCTTAAGGATTCTTCTTTTTTGTCTGATGGCTAGGGCTTTATTGCTTTCTTATTGACCATGATGGTATATTTTGTCTTGCAATCTTCTAGAATTTTTTGTCTCATACTTTTTCTTTGACTAGTAAAATTTTCTGTTAAGAAAAATTCGGAGCAATGTCAGTTTTGCAGTTCTTTTGTTGCAAGCCTCAACTTTTTTCCTGAATGTAATTGGTTCGCTGCTTTTGTCTCTCATTTAATAGTCTTTTTATTTATTTAAGGTGGAGGTCGAATCTACCATAGAACCATAGAATAACTGATATCTCTTGCCTTATATGATCAACATTCTTCAACTAGTTCTGAAATATGTAGTTTCAATGTTTATATCTGTTAAGGGGGATTATGCTCGATTGTCGTCGAGTCCTGTCAGGAAGTAGCTGTTCATAGCACATTCACACTCGTGATGCTGCTAATTCATTTGGATTATTTTTAGATTAATACGATTTATGCAGAAACCTGATTACCTTGACGGACTATCACCTAATGCGGATGATGAAAGCTCGGCCAGTGGGTCACCGTTACAAGTTCCGCAGCAGAAGATTTGTTCAGATAAGACAGATGGACAAAGAATTTCTGTTAGCCGGAAGGATGTTGATATTTCTTTGCTTCATTATTTTCCTGAAAAAACACAAGCAGGAGATCTATTCTGTGCAACTTCTAGAGGACAGCAGCCTCCCCCGGTGAGCCAGCCTTTAGTTTATTTAGTCTGCATTGATGCCTGAAATTAATATGGAAAGTTATGATTCATGTAAAGTCCGTTTGCATCATATATTGATAAACAGAACTATAGTATGGATTTTTATGTTTATATGGGGATTATTTTGGTTAGTACATTCAACCTTTAGCGATGCATATTGTATTTTTTATGCTTTTTTGTTAACTAAAATCGTGATGATCAATCTTATGATTCTGTTGGCTGCAATGCAAGGTCTGTAACTTTAACACAATTAAAAAAATATCAAAGTGCTATTACGGATGCAGTGTCACCCGCCTAATCCAATATATTTCAGTCATAGTCAATACTGCTAAATGTCGGTCGTTCATGAAATAGGTTGTGCCAAGGCAGTTGAAGTGCTGATGAATACGATGTACTAACATGTTCACACAAATCTGATGTAGCACCTTAGCCTCAATCTAATTTGTCATTTGTTTTGTGATAGGGTGTCTATATTACTCTGGTCACCGTACAAGAATGGTTAAGAAAATTTGCCCATATGCGAGATGATAAAATTTAGACATGAGCTGCAAAAAAATGTACAAGGAGTCACTTTGCATAATTATTTTTTACTATTAAAAATAGTAAAGAAATCGGTCAAGAAAGGAAAAATGTGCAAGGAGAATTCTCTAGGCACTTATCCTTTTACTTTCAATATTTGTATAGTTATCATAAACATTAAACCTCTATGTTATCACGTGTTTTGGATTCCTTTCATTTCTCTATCTCCTTTGACATTCTTAAGATAGTATCTTTTCATATGGCTAGACTCACCACATATATAGCGTTTTCTAGAGTTTATGAAACTTTTCTTAAATATGACTTTCCACTTGTGGCATAAGTTTGTATCTAATGTTAATCTCTCGGCTTTTGTTGTTATTGTTGTTCCTGAATAATTTTATTTCTTCTTAAATTGACTACTTTTATTATCTAACGTTTTTTTTATCACTAGTTTGTCGTTTTTTGTCCCACCTTATCCATATTTTGCTAGATCTTTCGTACTTAGGGAAATCAAAGACTGTCTCAACTAATCTCTCAGTCCTCTAAAACATTAGTAACATTTCTCACTAGGAGTATTGATAAGTTGTTAAGTATATCTCGATAATGATGTAAATTCTTCTTTATACTAAATCACAATCTTTGATCCATGAATCAGGTTAAGATACTCTCATGCATTGTCTGTCTTGCAGAGGTAGGGACATGCTAATCTCTGAAAATTTGTTCAGTATTTGATACGACCCGACATCAAAATCAGCACGCCTTTTCACAAAATTAGGAAAAACACAAATTTTAATTGTAATAATCCAAACAACTCATGAGAACACAAATGATAAGCACCTACGATTCAAGAGATAGACAATCTCTCCCAATTCCTACAATTCGAGAGGTAGAAAATCTATCCAAAACTCATGCATTCCCCTAACCCTAGGTATAGCAAATCTATTTATACCCAACAATAATATTAATAAATGAGCAAATTACCCTTAGGCATACAAAAAATAAAATTGCCCTTAGGCTAGACACCGACGTAACAATACTCACCCCCAAAAGACGCTTGTTCTTAAGGTGGAAAAAATTGAGTGTTCCTCCTCCACTACAACTATCTCTATATATTCATCATCTACCTCATGCACTATGAGAACTTAGAATTTTCGATATTTTCAATAGTTTCTTGGGCGAAGCATCTCATCACACCGAAAACATAACCTATTCATTCATTTCTCCAGAATCTATCTTTGTAAGGCGCTTGAGTGTTGCTCTCTATTGTGGCGTATTATTCTTGTTTTGTGCAGCCTTCCTTTGGACTTCCACTATTTGAACTTTTGGCATCATCGTGGTTGTAACAGTTCAGTGCGATGCTCTACATATATAGCTCCCGCTCGCCTTCTTCATCTAGTTTTTGTCTTTCACCATCTGGGCTAGCTCCATCATCTCCCTCAATTCTCGTGATCTTAATAGTCGTGTTGTTGCCCGTAAGTTGGGCTTTAAGCCCTTCATGAAATTCCTCTCCCGCCCTTCTTCAGAAACGCCGTACATCCGTTCCGAAAATAATTCAAATCTCTCTTTATATTTTATGATCATCCCCTCTTGAGTCAAGGCATCAAATTGCTCGATATAAGACACCGTAAGGAAAATTGCACCTTGCTTGGATGACAATCAAATATTTGAGTTAAAAGAAACATAAGACCTCCATTACACGTAGTCATCTTGTGTTGAATGGTTCTTTTAGCAAACATAGTGTGATTATCACAATTTAAACTTGATGATACACAATTAAATTGTGATATTAATATAAGATTTGTAAAACTTAACCAAATATTATTTGATATTTGGTTCTATTCTATTCTATCATTACAAAGTATATTATAAAATTCTCCCTATTCTTGTAGAAATATACAATAAAGAGTATAAATGTAAAACTATCAAGACTCGATATCAAATTTTTTATTGGAAATTATAATTTATCAATAGCTTTTAACATTTACACAATTAAATTTCAATATTAATTTTATTTAAATAGTATCTACTTAATGTAATAGCAAAACTAAACTTAAGATTTTAGCTTTCAGCAAAAAGAACAGATATGGATGATAAAACTCTTGCTGAGCTCAACCCCAACTGGATCGATTGTCACTCGATCTAATTGGCAGTCCCTGGATGACAATCAAATAATCGAGTTAAGAGAAACATAAGAACTCCCTTACAGATAGTCATCATGAGCTGTGTTGAATGATTCTTTTAACGAACTTAAAGTGGTTATCACAAACAACTCTCATAACAATGAAGTATCAAAAGATAGAATATATATATATTTTTTGAAAAGCCCAAGGGCTGATTTTGTTGAAATAGAGAAGATACGTAAAGGTTGTATGAGAGCGCCCAATAGAGACAACCTACCCATACGATACCAAGTATAGTAATATCCCAACTAAAAGATACAGATAGACTCAAAAAATTAAAATTTGCAGAAAACAAGTAGCTAGGGACGAGCCAGTTTAGTCCTGCCTCTAGTTTTAGAAGCAGAGCCAAATAACAAACATTAAATGTCGTGTCATTGTCAGGAGTAATCAAAGTATCATCCATTCATCCATTAAGTTTTTAAGTTTTTAAGTTGGAGTGTGCCCCCAACCTTCTTCCGTCGAGAAGTGTAAACATATCATTCTTCATCAGACGACTGACTCATGTGATTCTCTGTCTGATTAGATATTAGAACCACAGTAGAAGGAAATTGATACAGCGATAGGTTCCAGTGTATGTGAAATATGAATTGTCACATTTGCACCTGATGCTTCTTGATTAGGAGCTGCGGGGCTATCCTGATTTTCGATCCGAACATTATCCATTGTAGTATAGTCGGGAGAAGGGTTCATAGGGGCAGACACCAACTCATGTCTTGTGCTGATTCCCTCCTTATGTTGGCTGTCATCAGGTTTGTTGGGAGCGCATTCAGGCACGTGGGGTGCACTAACACGTTCTTGGATTTGAATATTGGTTCTCAACTGTGGGTGCAATCTGAAACATTTATTCTAGGAGTGTCTGAACATATTGCAGTGTTTGCAGTAGTAAGGTTTTTGTCCCATAATGATTTTTTGCCAATAACCATTGTGAGCAGAGCCAAACCAGAATTTTTATACATCTGGTAATGTAATATCTCTTTCAATCAAAATCGTTGCAGTAGAGGGCCTTGAGAAATTGAGAAATGAACTGTGTGAGAAATGAACTGTGGGTAAGTCTACCTGTAAAGGTTTTCCAAGGATAGTCCCAATTGCATATAAGATAGGTAGTTTAAAAAAATGAAGCTTGAATTCAGGTAATGAGAACCAGATATGCGCAATTGGAGGTTCTTGACTGAGATAAAAATTAGGGGTCTATTTGAGCAATTTTATATTTTTGCTCTCAATTGTGATAAATTTCTTTTAGAAAATTCTTGTGTAATCTTCTTCTATACTCAGCTGTATGATAACATGTCTTCCGTCGAAATGACCCACCTATCAAGCCCCAATTAGTTTGAAGTCTTCGAAAACCTTCCTGATAATTTCCATCTTTGGGCAACCTAATTGGAACTTTCCAACTAGTGTAAATTTGTATTTTCCCGCATGAGTTGAAATTTCAGCATCAGAGAAGAATAATGTTGGTTTGCCTGTCTTTTTTTCTACTTTCTTGATGAGATTGCAATTTCCATGTCCTACAACTGAATCATGGCACATCTGCGGGATTATCGGACTATCTACAAGGTGGAAAGGGGAGCTGCATTTGTGAATCCCTGTAGCGTAGGAGGGTTTGGCGGGGTTATCACCGGCGAGGGCGGCGAAGTAGGAAATCCCTGAGGTCATTAGCGTGCTTCACACAAGCACTGCAGAAGATAGGGCAGTGCAACAGACGACAACAAAAAGCACCGCAAGACTGCGACAGGAAGCAGCGTCGGTAATGACGTAGCCAACAGAGGCCAAGCCGAAGACGCTTCAGTCGAGATGGAACGAGGAGGAAGCTGAATCAGCCTACAGATGGAGCCGTCGTGCGGGCCTGCTTCCAAAACGACGGAGAGTAAGGAGACGACTGCAACGACGCAACCAATTCTCGTATCAGGAACGAAGATAATGCAGTACGAGCATGCGAGCAAAATGAGTGTCGCTGACGACGTCGTGCGAGCCTGCGATCAAAAGAAGTCGTCGTCGACGCGAACTGATGCCGATTGTGGAATGAAAGAAGGATTTTCAACGTCGGAAATCGCCATGGCGAAACCCTAGCAGAGTTCGCGATGCCGCCATTTTTGAAAAAAATATACTATATATATATATATATATGTCGGTGGCAAGATCGAGCTGCTCCGCTGGGGTTTTGCCCAATGACGATTCCCTGGCTTGATTGTGCTCGAAGAGGTGCTCCTGCGTTCGTCGACTCCTTCGCCGTCGTCAAGTCTCTCCGCTTTTGTGGACGCCGAGCTGCGAGTTGTGTCGCGTGGTC